GCCCTGCAGCCGTGGGAGGGAGATTGCACGATGGTGCTCCCCGTCACCACCTTCAGCACAGGCACGGCCCCGGCTGTCCGCCTGCCTGCCCGCCCGCCTGCCTGCATGGGCGTGGCTGCCCATGTGGCGGCTGCGTGGCTGCTTGAGTGGCGGCTGCCTGGCGGCTTGTGTGGCGGCTGCAGTGGCGGCGCTCCTCCGACTTGCCCAGCCCTCCTCCACCCATGCTCTCCCCCTTCTCCTCTCACTTGCCCCCTCCTCCCACCTTCCACCTCCCCCAACGTCGCCCACATGCGCCGTTTGTCCTCCTCTTCCTCCTCCTCTGAACGCCCACACCCATAGTAACCCACACCCTACACCCGCCCCGCCCCCCCCGCCCTCTCCCTCCCCGCCCCCCGCAGCCAAGAGCGTGATCAACCTCAGCAAAGCCGACCTGCTGGTGGCGCTGAACGAGGGCAGGCGCGCCACCTGGGGCAAGCTGTCGGCCATACAGGTGACGCCTGCCTGCGCCGGAGGGACTCCTGCGCCACGGCTGGCTTGCTGCGGCGCGGGAGCCTCGCCTGCAGCGCTGCACGGAGGCTGCTGCGCCTGCCTGCCAGACAGGCGGTGGCTGGCTGGCCGTGGCACGTTGCTGAGCAGCAGGCAGGCAGGCAGGCAGGCAGGCGGGCGGGCAGCGCCCGTTCTTCTCCGGGCGGGCAGCCTGCCCCCGCTGCCGCCCCGGCTGCGACCCTTACACCGCCCCTGCCCGCGCCCTCTTAACAACGCCGCCCCCGCCCCGCAGGCCAACTGCGCCATAGAGGCCACCATCGACGAGTGCCTGCGCCAGGTCACCGCCTTTGCCAACGCCCAGCGGCGGCGCGCCGCGCGGCGCAGCTCCCGCGCCGCCGCCGCCGCGGCGGCGGCCAACGGCGGCGCCGCCGGCGGCGGCGCGGCCGCGGGCGAGGCCGCGCTGCGCCGCGGCATCCCCTCCTGGCTCCACATGCCCTCCCTGGGCATCCCCCGCATCGACTCCCGGGACATGGGCCTGCTCACCCCCACCGCCTCCCGCTCGGGCCTGGCGCGTGAGTGCCAGCGGCGGCGGCGGCGCCCGGCGCCTGCGCCCTGCTTCCCCACGCAGCGCGGCATCCGGCACGGCGCATGCGCAGGGCAGGGGTCTGCACCCCACACGCATGTGGCCTGGCCAGCCAGCCCCACACCCGGCAGCGCGCCACGCCCCACCACACCACCGCCGCACGCTCACGCCCCTCTCTCCCTTGTTGTCGTGCGCCCTCCCCCTGCCCCCCACCCGTGCCACGCGTGCAGCCTCCTCTTCAGACTACTTTGACCAGGCAGCCCCAGACCTATCCCTGGCGCGCAGCCCCCGCGCCTCGGGCTCCTCCTCCGCGCTGCACCTGTCTGTGCAGGAGCAGCTGACGGAGACGATGGTACCCGAGGATGCGGAGCGAGAGGAGGAGCAGGTGGCGGCGGCGGCGGCTGAGGCGGCGGCCGAGGCGGCCGCGCGCGACGGCGCGCCCGGCGACGCGGCGGCGCCAGCGCCCGCGGCGCTGGCGACTGCCGCAAGCGGTGCGCGGCTGCTGGCGTTGCGCCTGCGTTGCCGCTGCGTGCCGGGCTGGCTTGGGTAGGGTCGGCCGCCCATTGCGCTCGGCGGCTGCCTGAGGAACGCCCCCTGGCCCCTGCCCCCCTGCAGAGGCGGAGGAGGTGCTGGATGTGCTGCCGCTGCCCATGCTGGAGAGCGGGCGGGAGCTGTGGCGCGACTTCTTCCTGCTCACCCCCGCTACCAGCGCCGCGCCCACCACCAGCCTGGATTTCATCGCGCCCTGAATGGGCGGGAGCCTGCACCCCAGCAGGCTTGTGTTCCGAGAGAAGGCCAGGCGCGCTGCCTGCCTTATTATGCGTACTGTCCAGCCTAGTGTGTCAGCCACCCGCGATGTTTTGAGCCCCCATAGCGCTTGTTCCTTGAATTGTTTGGCCGGCCGAAGCTGCACGCCGAGATTTGACGCACGCTGCATCCAGCCGGTATGTAATGATTGCAGTGGAACACAAGTAGCTGCCCCACATGCAAAAAAGGACAGAGCAGTGCGGAGCAGCCCACCCATCCAACGGGGCGGCAGCACGAGGCAGCTGGGCTCTGCCCCTGCCTGGCGGGCGGCCCTGGGGGCGGCGGCTGGGCGGCGGGTGTGACCCCTCGCCCCCTGCCCTGCAGCTTCCCAGATGCTCGCGGCGCCCGGGCAGGTCTCTGGGAGGCGATGCAACCTTCCTGGGTGCAGGCAAGACCCGCCGATCGCCCCGCTTGCAACTGGCATCCTGCATATGTGGCGACTAAGCCTATGCAAGAATAACAAACAATCCCGCGGCCTCCTGCGTTGCTCGTGATCACGCAGGGAAATATCCATTCCCTGCGCTTTCCTCCGCGATTGTACTGCGCCAGGTACAGGTTATCTACCCGCACCCGCCTTCCGGGCGCTCTTGCACCGGAGGCACAGTCAGGAGTCATGCAGGCGACTCTTAGCAGCAAGGTGACTGTGGCTCCGGCCTTTAGGGCCAATGCTGCCCGCCCGGCCCGTCGGGCGCCTCTGGCTGCCCGCGCGGCCTCTGTTGCCGCGGAGGACGTGCCCAGCATGGAGAAGCGCGTTCTCATGGTGAGTGCAAGCGTCTGGGGCTCCCAATTCAGCCGGGGGTTGATGCCATCTCTCCGAGGGACCGACAGCGCCAGGCATTGGGCGCCCCGCAGCCTCTGCACATCGCCATCAGCGGGTTGGCATCCAATCCAGCCCCCTCCGGCCGTTGGCTGGTTCGCTGCACTTCTCCCCTCATCGCCCCTTGCACCACGCCCTGCTGCAGAACTGGCTGCTGGTGGGCGCCATCGGTGCCCCCGCCGTTGGCCTGGCGGGCCCCTTCGCCGTGTTCTTCGTGCCTCCCAGGTGAGCCCGGGGCGGGGCTCGGCGGCAGCCACTACAACGCCGCCGCCCTGCCTGATCCGGCGCGCGGGCACTTCCAAACGCGTCCCGGGCCTGCTCCCCTGCCTCCCGCTGCAGCAAGGGCGGCGGCGGCGGCGGCACTGTGGCCAAGGACGCCCTGGGCGCTGACGTCAAGGCATCCGCCTGGCTCAAGACCCACCCCGTGGGCGACCGCTCGCTTGTGCAGGGCCTCAAGGTGCGCGCGCCGCCCAGCCTGCACCTGCTGCACCTGCTCCCCTGTTGCTGCATGCCTGCTGTGGGTTTGTGTTGCTGCCAGTCGGGTGGGCCTCGCGCCCGTCTGGTCCTTTGGAGCCTGGTTCGGTGCGGCGCGGAGGTGCAGCGGCAGCATGCGGCAGAGGCACCGCAGCAGCGCAGCGCAGGCAATGCTCAGGCCAGCCTCAGCCCTGGAGCGTGCAGCAGAGGCAGCCGCCTGGGGCGTGGGAGCTAAGGGAGCGCCGTGCGCCGCGCACGGCGGCAACCGTTTGGACCGGCAGGCCGGCAGCGGCACGGCGGCTGTCCCTCCCAATCAGCCGCTCGCAGCTTGCAGCCCGTGTGCAGCCCAGCCAGCCAACAGGGCCGCAGTTCCCAGTTCCCAGGCAGCGTCGCTGCCGTGCCGCCGCGGCCCCCCAGCCGTCGGTCTGCCACTCCTGAGAGCTACGCACGCTACGCGCGCTGCCCGCCCTCCCCCGCCGCTCACCCGCATCCGCTCCCTCCCTCCTCCCTCCTCCCCACCCCGTGCAGGCCGACGCCACCTACCTGATCGTCACCAAGGACGGTTCGATCGAGAACTACGGCCTCAACGCCGTGTGCACCCACCTGGGCTGCGTCGTGCCCTGGAACAACGCGGAGAACAAGTTCATGTGCCCGTGCCACGGCAGCCAGTACAACTCGGAGGGCAAGAAGATCCGCGGCCCCGCCCCGCTCTCCCTCGCCCTGGCCCACCTCAGCATTGTGGACGACGTCGTGTCCTTCACCCCCTGGTGAGCGGCGCAGGCGGCCGGCCCTCCTGGGCGGCGTGGGCGGTGTGGGTGGTGTGGGCGGAGAGACGGCGGGGTCCAGCCGGCGGCAGCACACGGAGCCCCGGGGCAGGAGGCCGGCCAGCTGCGGCGCAGCAGGAGCTGTGCTGTCTCGGACCGGCCTGAAGCTCTGCCGCTGAGCCCTCCTCGCTCCTTCCTCCTCCTCTGCCCCGCGTAGGACCGAGACCGATTTCCGCACTGGCGAGAAGCCGTGGTGGAGCTAAGCCGCTCGCCGCCGGCGGCGGGCGCGGCTGGTGGAGGGGGGCGCTGGCGTAGGCGCCGCAGGCAGGCCGGCAGGCCCGCCTGGCGGCCGCCTGCAGCAAGCCGGCGTCCCCACCTCAGCAGCGGCCACCCCGGCTGGCAACGGCGTGCAGCAGCGTGTACCATCTTACACACCGGCGCCCCGGTCCGGGGCGCCGAAGGTGGCGTAGCACTCGAGTATTCAACCACAATTCATTTGCAGCCCCCCATTACCCAGCAGTGCGTGTGTCGCCTATTCTTTGTTGCCTCCACTGCCCCCACTCCAACCTGAGAAGAAACCCCCTTCCTTCCCCGGTGTGACAGCGTACTATTAGTAGGGCAGCTGCCAGACATCAGAGAGCAAGGGCTAGGGGCACATGTGTGGATTAGTGGCAGGAAAGGCACACACACCATGGCAAATGAAGGGCAGGCAGCTGCACATGAGGCGGCGCCCTCACAGCACCTCTGCCTGGCGCCGCGCAATGCCCGCCACGTGCGGCGCAATCAGCGAGGCTCCCTCCACGCTCAGCCGCCGCGCCTCCACGCCGCCGCAGAAGCCTGGGCAGGCCTCCAGCAGCGGCAGCGGGTCGCGCGTGAGGTGGCAGTTGTCGGCCAGTAGGCACTGCAGCGGGTTGAGCAGCCGCTGGGCCGCCCACAGCAGCGGCTGGCCCTGCGGGTGCGAGGCAGGCAGGGGCAAGGCAAGTCGGGCGCCGGCTGGCAAGCACCGCATCAGTGGATCATCGGCAGGGACAGGCGGCAGCAGGCAGGGACCGGCTGCCGCCGGCCGCGCTGCCCACCTGTGCTGCCGTGTGCTCAATGAACAGCATCGCTCCGCCCAGCTTCAACACCCGCGACGCCTCCCGCACCACCGCCTCCACATCCGACACCGAGCACAGCACCTGTGGCACGGGCGGTGCAGGGGGGGAGGGATGCGTGTGTTGAGCGGCAGGCAGGCTTGGGAGTGGAGAGCGAGGGCAGGCGCATGCCTCAGCCCTGAGCAGCAGCGCCAGCGCCAGGAGACGAGGCGAGGCATCGACAGCTTGGCCAGTCGAAGCAGGAGGCGCCACGCGGGAAGCAGGAGGGGCAGGGTGGGCGGCCACCCAGGGGCCCCACCAGTGTGCACACGACGGCGTCCATGGAGGCATCCGCCAGCGGCACCGCCTCTGCGCTGCCCTCCACCCAGGTGAGGCGCTCACGTGGCCAGCCGGCGCGCTGCAGGCTCTGCTCCAGGTAGGGGCGCATGAAGGCGTTGGGGTCCAGGCCGGTGATGTGCAGGGGTGGCGGAGGCGCGGCGCTTGCTGCGCTGCCACTGCTGCTGGCACTGCCGCCCGTGCTGCTGCTGCCGGCCCCGCCGCCACCGCTACCGCCCAGGCCGTAGAATCCAGCGTAGCATGGCAGGTTTGGGCCTGTGCCCACTCCCAGCTCCAGCAGCTGAGCGGGCTCCTGGCTGGTGGCGGTGGCCGGCAGGCCCTCCAGCAGCTCACCAAAGAGGAGGCGCTTCAGGGGAGCGACGCTGGCCTCATACTCTGCCATGCCCTCCGCCATGGCCGCAGCAAAGGCGCGGTCCAGCACCCCGCTGCGCGGCCGCTGCTGCTGCTCCGCGGCAGACGCCGCAGCGCAGACGGCGCACGCGCAGGGCGGCAGCGCGGCGGCAGCCGCCAGCAGGCGGCGGCGGGTGCTGCTGCTGCCCTCCTGCATGTTGAGGGGCCATTGCTGCTGCGGCTGCTGCTGCGACTTGCAAGCGGTGGCTCGCCTGCAGGGCCGCTTCGGGGAGGCCCCGCCGAGGGAAGGCAGGGCAGGGCACCGGCACAGCGCTGCCATGAATCAGGGCAGCTTCCTCACTCACTTGCAATCAATCGATCGATGACTGGTGAAAGAGCAGGGTTTTGCCTGCCTCCGTGGCATTTTTTCATCGTTCCCGCGCGCAACCGGCGCCCCGCCCTCCCTGCCAATGCTCTAGCATGGTTTGATTATCCATCGAAACAGCATCTGCATCGCGCAGGCACCTGTCGACATACTGCCGGTCAACGCAATGCAAGTGCGCTCTAGAGAGCTGCAGGCCGCCATCGCCCGGGCTGCCGAAGCCGACAGGCGCGCACAGGCAGCCCACGATCAGCTGGACAAGCAGCAGGACCTGGTGAGTGTGCAGCCATCTCCCACAGCCGCTCGTCGCCACCAGCCACTCGCCTTCACCAGCTCTGCCCTCTGAATGCTGCATCCCCTGACCAATGGCACGCCCTCCTGAAATCGACCCCACGCTTGCGATTGCAGCTGGAGGCAGCCGTGCACCGCGCCACGGCGGCAGAGGAGCGGGCGCGGCAGCTGGCGGTGGGGCTGGCTGCGGCAGAGCAGCACGTGGAGCAGCACCAGCAGGAGGCTCAGGCTCGTGATGCAGCCAATGCCATGGCCCATGCGCAGCTGCAGCAGATGGTGACGGCCGTGGAGCAGGCCGCCACGGCGTCCGAGGCAAAGCTGGGTGCCAAGCTGGAGACGCAGCGCAAGGCCGCCGCCCAGCTGCGGCAGCACCTGGCCGCGGCCGAGCAGGAGGCGGCTCAGCTGCGCGCTCAGCAGGCGGAGGCGGAGGCGGAGGCGTCCAAGCTGGCCATGCAGCAGGCGGCAGAGATCCAGAGGCTGGCGGGCCAGGTGGAGCAGCTGCAGCTGCGGCTGCAGGAGGCCGAGGCCAGGGCAGACACGCTGGCATATGAGGAGGCAGCCTATGAGGTGGCGCGCATGGAGGACTCCTTCCCGCTCCCCGATGCAGACGCAGCAGCGGCAGCGCCGCCGACGGCCACCTCCCACCTCAGCTTCACGGCGCAGCCATTTGTCCCGCGCTGGGCGTCGGCGTGAGGGTGCCCGCAGTCAATCGGTAGACACACCCCTGGGCTTGTGCGCTCACAACCTGCTCAAAACAGAACTGCTTGTATGCCAACGTGTATCAAATCAAGCCTCACTTGTGCACCCACTGCGGCGCGCGCTTTTGCACAAACGCCGCCATCCCCTCCTTCTGGTCCTCCAGCGCAAAGCAGGACCAGAACTCGCGCTTCTCAAAGCGCAGCCCCTCCCCCAGCGCCGCCTCCTGAGCCACAGCCACGCACTCCTTGGCCTTGGCCACCGCGGGGGCGGAGTGGCTGGCTATCTTGGCCGCAACCTGGGGCGCAGTGGGGGGGGGGGAGGGAGAGGTGTGGTGGGCTGGTGGCACGCAGGCGTAGCGACAGCGGGGCGTGGGGAGGCGGCAGAAAGGCGATTGACCACGCTGGCGCCGCAAGCACACCACCACCGCCGCCACACAAGCACACCCGCTCCGCACCTTGCGCGCCTCCGCCATCAGCTCGCCGTGCGGTACCGCGCGGCTGGCCAGCCCGATGCGTACCGCCTCCTCCGCCCCGATGCGGTCCCCCGTCAGGATCAGCTCCATGGCGCGGCTCCTGCCCACCGCGCGCGGCAGGCGCTGCGTGCCGCCCATGCCCGGGATCACGCCCAGCGTGATCTCGGGCTGGAGGGGCAGGGAGGACGGGAGGAGGAGGGAGGCGCAAGGGGAGGGTGGCGGGGCGGTCATGGGGCCTGGGAGGCAGGCGGGCACCTCGCCCAGCCGCACAGGCAAGACAGCTGCGAGGTGCTCCCGCCCACGGCTCCACCAGCATCCCCGCCCCCCAAGCAGCAGCCTGCCAGAAGTACAGGCACAGCTCCCGGGAAACAACACAGGCGAGGCAGGGTGGTCCCCCACCTGCCCAAACTGGGCTCTGTCTGAGGCCAGCACGATGTCGCACATCAGCGCCAGCTCGCAGCCGCCCCCCAGCGCGTAGCCGTTGACCGCGGCGATGAGCGGCTTGCGCACGCTGCGCTGGGGAGGGAGGGAGCGGGAGCGTTGGGTGGGCACGCTCAAGGCGCGGTGCCAGCACGGCTGCCAGCATGCGCGCACTGCCGCAGCCGCAGCGAGGCAGGAGGCGGGTGGGCGTGGCCTGGCCCGGCAGCGAGGCCTGCTGGCAGGCGGCGGCCAGCTGGCTCACGTGCGGAGCGTCTCCCAGCCGTTGAGCAAGCTGTTGTTGTAGGCCTGCAGGGCAGGCAGGCAGGGTGCGCCCGCTCAGGGGCAGCTGAGCATGTCTTCCGGGCTGCACCTAGCTGCACCTAGCACCGCTGGCCTGCAGCCAGGGACAGGGCAGCGCCAGGGGAACACCTCTGAGTAAGTGACTGCCGCCATCTCTTTGATGTCTGCCCCAGCCGCAAAGGCCTTGTCGCCTGACCCAGTGATGATGATGACCTGGCGCCAGGCGGGAGGCAGGGCATGGCACAGCAGGGCACAGCCGGCGGGGAGGGACGCAGGAGTGAGGGGTGTCGAGGGCAAAAAGGAATGGTCGGGCAACCAGCGCAGAGCGGGGCTGCTGGCGCTGCAACGCAGCGCGACTGGCTGCTGCGGGCTGGCCCCATATGCCGGGGCTGGCCGCCCCACCTTGGCGGTGGAGTGGTTGCGGTCCAGGTACAAGCAGGCAGACACTAGCTCAGACATGACCTGCGCGAGGAATGTGGAGCGATGTGGAGGGGCGAGGACGGAGCGGGCGCGCACCAGGCTGGGCTGCCTGCCTGTATGGTGAAGCAACACAGGCGCTGCCAGGGCGGCAACGGGGCGCTGCGAGCCATGCAGGCTGCGCTTCGGTGCGCGACACGGCCTGGGGCCGGGGCCTGCCTGGGAGTTGAGGGCATTGAGGGCCTGGGGTCGGTCGATGGCCAGCACCGCCACGCCGTCGTCCCCCACCTCGGCAGTGATGCTGCTGAAGCTGTCCCGCAGGCTCTCCCAGGCCTCCACGGGCGGCGTCGTGTAGGCCCTGCACCCGGCGGGGGCCTGGCTGCCCGGTAACGGCGGGGCCAGCGGCGGCACCCAGCGCCCCGTGGCGGGGGCGGCGGCGGCGGCGTCCAGGGCTGCGTGCTGGCCCGCCGCCCATCCCAGCCGTGCCAGACCGACACCCCGGCATCCCGCCCCCCTCCAGCTGCGGGCCAGCGCGACGGCAACAGACATCGTGGAGGGTGGTGGTGCCGGCTTCAAACCCAGAGGCTCTAAGGGCACACAGCGGGGTAAGCAGTTAAATCTAAGTGATCCGGGCACTCCCAATTCAGTTTTGAATGCCTGCTTGCGTACTTACACAAGGGGCTTGTGCTGACTGGGCTCCACAGTGGCTCATAGAGCTTTACGAACCGCTATTAGCCCTCCCCTCCGGCTTCATTGCATCGAGTACTCCACCAGCAGGCACATAATGGTGAGTCGGGCGACAGTCAACCGAGTCAAGCGCGCTGCTTGCGGTCGCTGGAGGCTTCCCAGCTCGCCCCTGGCACCGTGGCTGGGCAGAAGAGCGGTCTTAAAAGCCAAAGAGACCACCCGGCAATCCGCTCCTTGCCAATTGGCTTCCGCCGCTGTCGCCCGCCAACTACCCCCGCCGCCGCCCCCAACTACCTCCACCACCCCCACCCCCACCCCCACCCGCTGCAGTCCAACGACTTGAGGGTTGTGTTTACTGCCTTCGCGGCCTTTGGCAGCGGCCGCGACTCGGGCATCTCATCTGGCCTGGAGGGGCGCGCCTTCAGCAAGTGAGCGCCCGCCGCGGTGCTGATGGGGTGGCGGGCGCCAGATCAGCCCAAGCTTGGCAGAAGAAGCGGCTGCTCCTCCTCCCTTGCCAGCAGGATCTTCAAGGACGCCGGCCTCTACTGCCGCAAGTTCACCGTGACTGACGCAGACCTCATCTTCACCTCGGTGAGTGACGGGCCAGCCGCTTCATCCAGCAATGCCCCTGGCGTGCCCAGCATGCCACTGCATGCCGTCCTCTGGCTGTCGCCAGCTGACGTCAGGACCCACACGGAACGACACCAGAAACCGACTGGTCCTATTGTGCAGGTGAAGCCCAAGGGCGGCAAGCGCATCTCCTATGATGCCTTTGAGCAGGTGGGGGCAGGGCGGGGCAATCTGTGGGGCAATGTGCTGCATGCATGCAGCAGGAAATTCCGGGCATCTAAAACATGTGTGATTGCCCGCTGCGCTGCGGCCGGTGCTGGCTGGCGCAGGCGCTGCAGAAGGTTGCTACCAAGAAGGGGGTGTCCATGGCGGAGGTGGTGAGCACCATCGTGGCGGCAGGCGGGCCCAAGAGCAACGGCACGCGCGCAGAGGCCTGCCGCTTCTACGACGACAAGTCAAACTGGTGGGTGGGTGCAGGCAAGGGCGTCGCAGGCAGCCGGGGGGTGGGGCACGGTGATGAGGTGGCTGGCGGGTGAGGTGGTTGGCGGGTGCCGCCCTGCCTGTGGTGGAGGGATGGCGCTTCTGATGGATCTAGCCTGCCCGGCCTTGCCCACACCTCTGCTTACCCCCACCCCCTCGCCTGCAGGACCAGCACCGCGCGCAACGGGGGCCCCACCAACGTGGACGGCCAGAAAGACCTGAGCTCGCTGTGCGACCGCACCGCCGCAGACGCCAGGGGCATCAGCGCCAAGAGCAACTTCTCGCGCCAGCACTGAGCAGCCGGCGCCGGTGTCATACATACATACATTTGCTGGTACCATACATTATGCTTCCGGCGCCGGCGGGCGGCATGGGTGGCGCCGCCCTGCAACTGCCTGCCGGCCAGGCGGCAACCAGGGGGCCTGGGTTGCCTGGGCAGGCGTGGCCCCCTGACAGGCGTGCAAAGTGCCTGCTCCTTGACACCCCTCCTGTACACCTGCGTGCTTCATTCAACACCTCCCATCCTTGCCACCACTCACCCTCCAGGATCACCCGCTAATCCTATGGAATGCTATCACTGTTCAAATCCGCCCTGTAAACCACCGATTGGCGGCAGCGCTGTTACACTGCCTGCCTCTGCACACCGGGGCGCAAAGCATCAGGCCGCTGCCACGGGCCTCGCCTCGGCGCCAGCCGCCGGCGCCAGCAGCGCCGCCATCCCCGCCGGGTCTGCCACCACCAGCTCCACTTCAAACACCTGCTGGAAAGCATCCAGTATGGCATGCCGATACTCGGCGATCAGGGCCGCCTCTGCCGCCTGCTGTGCAGCCCACCCGGCTCCCAGGTCGTCCAGCGCTGCGCCCACGGGCGGAGGCGCCGCCTCAGGCGCCAGGCTGGCAGCCAGGGGGTCCTCCCACGCCTCGCCCAGCGCGCCGTCGGCCGCCGCCAGTACCTGCTGCTGTTGCTGCTGCTGGGGTGTTTGCTGCTGCACGGGCTGCTGCGCCGGCTGCTCTTCTAGCGTCTGAAGCCGCGCCTGCTGCGCCTGCTGCGCCTGCTGCGCCTGCTGCGCCAGCAGGCCCGCCACGCTGGCCACCGGCCGGTCTGCGATGCCGCAGGGCACGATCTGGCGGAAGGGGGCGAGGTCGTTGACCACGTTGAGGGCCAGGCCGTGGTAGGTCACCCAGCGGGAGGCGCGCACGCCAATGGCCGCCACCTTCTGGCCGCCCACCCACACCCCGGTCAGGCCCGGAATGCGCTCGCCCCGCAGGCCCGACGCCGCCTCCAGCGCCCTGCGGCGGGCGGCGCAGGGCAGCAGGCGGTGCGTGGGGGCGGCACATGCATGCCTTCACTGGCAGGTGGCACGTGGCTGGGTGCGCAGGCGGGCATGGAAGGCCGGTGTGGCAGGCGCACGGGCAGCCATGCGCAGTTGGCGCACCGCACACAAGGGGACCTCTTGTGCCAGCCCTGCCGCCCACCCCAGCACCACCCACCTCAGCGGCCCACCCACCTGATGGCCACCTCCTCCAGCTGGCGCAGGTACCAGTGCAGGTCCTGCTGCAGCGGCGGGCGCCGCAGGTCCAGGATGGGGTACAGTACCAGCTGGCCGGGACCGTGGTACGTCACCTGACACGAAAAGAAAGGATGGGCCCACGCGTCAGAAGAGGCAGGGGCGGCGGCTGCAGCACCTGCGCAAGCCGGCAGCCAAGCAGGCGGCAGGCAGCTGGCAGGGGCAGGACCCGGAGACGAGGGCTTGCGCACCTCTCCGCCACGTTCTGTGCGGTACAGCGGCAGCGGCGGCGCCGCACCGTCAAACTTCAGGTGCCCCTCCGTGGCCCCCGTGCCCAGGGTGTACACCGGCGGGTGCTGCAGCAGCACCAGGCTGCCCAGCGTGGCGCTGCTGCTGCCCTGGTGGTCTTCCGAGGCGGAAGCAGCGGCGGCGGCGGCGGCCGAGGCACTGACCACAGCCTCCACCATGCCCTTCTGCCAGTCCCAGGCCTGCTGATAAGGTATCTGGCGGTCGTGGGCGTCGTACAAAGTCACCCTGGGCTGCGCTCTGCAGGCTGCAGGGCCTGGACGGCCGCCTCGCTGCCGCAGCTGCTGCCGCCGCTGCTGCTGCCGAGGCTGAGGGGTGCACCTCTGCCCAGGGGGCCGCTGCCGGCGGGGGAATGTGCATGCTGACGTGCAGGCCCTCAAGGAGCCTGCTGCAGCAGCCATGGTGCGTCAGTGTTGAGCTTTCGGACTTGCGGTGGCTTGCGGTGCTGGCGCCTGTCCCCTGGCCTTCTCTGAGTCCAACCGACACAGCACTGATCGTTTATTAGGCGCATTATGCACGGCGAGGTGGCATTTCAGTGCCAGGCGGGCAGGGCGCAAGAGTGAGACCCGCCTGCAGCATGCATATGCTCCCGCTAGCTTGTTCACCTCCTGGCTGTATCCCACGTCTGTAGCAGCGGCGGCAGACCACCATGCTTGCGCAGGCGCTCCCGACCGGCAGCCTCCTGCTGCGTCTCGGCGCCGCCAGGCTTGCACACCACTCCAGCAGCCTGCCCAAGCTGCTAGCTGTGCCTGCACAGCAGGCCGGGGGCCGGCGGCTGGCCCACGCCGCCCGAAAACTGGTGGCGGCAGCAGCAGCTGAACCCAGCGCTGAAGCCCCGGCCTCTGCAACGAGCGCCGATGCATTCAAGAGCCTGGGTGTGGACAAGCGGCTGACGGTGAGCGCGCCCCGCCCGCCGCCGCGCCGCCGCCGGCTGCCTGCTTTGTTGAGCCCCTGTGTTCACATCCCTTCCTTCCTCCTCTCTGCCCCTGCAGCCCTTCCTGGCGCAGCAGGGCATCCATGCGCCCACCGACATCCAGCTGGGCGCCATCCCGCCCATCCTGGCGGGCGACAACGTGGCGCTGCAGGCGTACACCGGCTCCGGCAAGACGCTGGCCTTCCTGCTGCCCGCGCTGACGCTGGCGGTGGAGCGCGCGGAGCAGGAGTGGGCCTCGGTGACGCGCAAGACGGCGTGGCAGGCAGGGTCGGTGCAGGTGGTGGTGGTGGCGCCGTCGCGGGAGCTGGCCATGCAGATCATGAGGGTGGCCCAGAGCCTGCTGCCCGAGTCGGCGCGGCGCGGCGTGCAGCAGGCCATCGGCGGCGCCGCCATCTGGCGGCAGCGGGAGAACCTCAAGGTGGGCCCGCGGGGCGGGCCGAGGGGGCTGGCGGGCTGGGAGCCCCGCGGCTGGGGCGCGGCTGGCCCAACCGCTGCCCTGCCTGCATGCAGCACGCGCCTGCATTTCCAGCGTGCTTCTGCATTGCGACTCAAAAGGCATTGCGGCTTGTGGCGGTGCCCTGTGGGCCTGTGGGCGCAGATGTACAAGCCCTTCATGGTGGTGGGGACGCCCGGGCGCCTGGCGGAGCTGAGCCGCGACGGCTCTCTGCAGACGCACAAGTGAGGGGGCAGCAGGCGGGGGGGCAGCGGTGCTTGCGGCATGCCACGAGGGCTTGTGTGCTGTGGCTGGCAACCGCAGCCGGGCTGTCTGTGCCTGTATGCCTGCTGATGCCCGCTCCCTGCCCGACTGAGCCCTGTGCCTGTGCCTGCACCTGTGCCTGTGCAGGACCCGGCTGCTCATCCTCGATGAGGTGGACCAGCTGCTGGCGCCGCAGGTGATGCGGTACCGCTGCGGTACCGTGGCATACCGGCTGCGTGCTGCTGCGGCTGCTGCTGGTGGTGGTGGTGGTTGTCTGGTGGTGCCGCTGCTGATTCGCTAGCGTGCCTGCCTGCCTGCAAGTTCCTCACACTCCGCGTTCTGCCTGCTGTGCCTGCTGCGCCTGCTGCGCCTGCTGCGCCGCAGTTCCGAGAGGAGATGGTCCGCATCTGCGAGCACACCGGCAAGAAGGCGGAGGGCGGGCGCCAGACGCTGGTGGTGTCCGCCACCCTCACGCCCCGCGTCCTGCAGATGGCCGCCACCTGGTGCCCCAACCCGCGCAGCGTGTTTGTGGGCGTAGAGCCCGCGGCAGCGACCGCAGCGGCGGCAGAAGATGCGGCCGCGGCGGCGGCGGCGGCGGCAGCAGAGGCGGCGAAATCGGGGCTGAGCGGGCGGCGCGGCGAGGCGGCGGCGGAGGGCGAGGAGGCGGCGGCGGAGGGCGCGGCGCCGGCGCGCGACGAGCGGCGGCCCAGCTGGGGGTGGGGCGACGCCAAGTCTCCCTCGGCAGATGCGGCCGACTACAATCCGGGCACCAGCAGCGCGGGCGGGCTGGGCAGCGAGCAGGCGGCGGCGGCCTCCATGCCGCCGCACCTGCGCCACCACTTTGTGGCCTCTGCCCCGCAGCACAAGGTTGACATGCTGAGGTGAGGCCGCGGCCGCCTGGGCACATCCGCAGAAATGCAACACGGGCCGCAGGGCCGCAGCGCTGCCACCCGGCGCCCTGCCTGTCCCTGTGCCGCCTTGTTATGCTCGAATCGAAGCTGTGCCCGCCATCCAGCTCACACCCGCCCCGCCTCGCGCGCGTGGCGTGGCCCGCAGGCGCACCATGCACGCGCTGGGCGTGCAGCGGGCCCTGGTGTTCATGAACTTCCAGCAGCGCCTCAAGGACACAGGTGGGCATGGCCTGCCAGCTGGCAGGGTGCCCGGGGACCTGCTGCGAAACAAATACAGTGTAGGAGGGTTTCGGCCGCCCCCAGGCCGCCAGGCTTGTGAGCGAGCGCTGGGCGGCACCCGCAAATCCAACACATATTGCACCTAGTGCTGCACTTGGTTGGCCAATTGTATAATCACCGCCCCGCCGCGCAGAGGCCAAGCTGGCGGCGCGCAGCATGGCGGTGGCCAGCCTGCACGGCGAGCTGACCAAGCAGCAGCGGCAGACGACGCTGGCGGCGTTCCGACGCGGTGCGCCCGCTGGGAAACCACGCTGCCCCGAAACACGCTGCCCCGCTCCCGCTCCCCGCCCGGCCAGCCCTGCTGCCCCCTGTTTCCGTTCCAACGCCTGCTCACTCTCCAGAAACATCACTCCCCGTGCCCCCTCTCCCCCCCATGCTTGCAACCCACCCAAGCAGGCGACTACCGCGCGCTCATCGTCAGCGACGTGGCGGCCCGCGGCCTCGACATCCCCGACTGCGACGCCGTGTTCCACCTGGAGCTGCCCACAGACGCCGCCCACTACGCGCACCGCGCGGGGCGCACCGGCAGGTGCGAGACGCATGCGTGCTGCAGCGTGGCGACAGGCGCAGGGGGCGCGTGTGTCTTTGGGGTGGCTGTGAGGCTCCTGACCGCGGCCGGCGCCTGGCCTGTGCCTGCAGGGCGGGGCGGCCCGGAACCGTGGTGTCGCTTGTGTCGGGCGGCGAGCGGTTTGTGGTGGAGAAGCTGGGGCGGCGGCTGGGGGTGCCCATCTCGGAGGTGCAGCTGTCCGGCGGCGAGGCGGCGGAGAAGGAGCCGCCGGCGGCGGAGCAGCAGCGGCAGCCGCACAAGGGCAAGCAGCAGCCAAAGGAGCAGCAGCAGCAGGCGTAGGGCCGGCCGGCAGAGCTCGGGGGTGCACACCGTCGCTGCCCATTTCTTTGGTGTCTACGCTGGCTGCAGCGTGCAAGTCGTTCTTGGATTATTTTAGAGCGTGTAAACAAGGTTCTTGAGTTTTGAAGAGGTCAGAAGAAAGGACAGGGATGGCAGAGCCACAAGAAGCCCTCCTTCCACTTTCGCTCACTTTGTCAGATGCTAAGATGTTACAGGCTCCAGTGCTGCTCCTGGCCCTGGTGCTCACCACGGCTGGAGCTCAACCTGCTTCTGGGACCCAACTGCTGGCCAGAGGTCTGCACGCCCTGCCCTACAGTTGCAACCATCTGGCTCTGCACCCAGCCCCATGTGGCCCCTGCAGCCTGCGTGTGCGGCCTGTGCGTTGACGCCTGGCCGTCCCTCGCATACAGCCCCTCTGAGATCATGCTGCAGGGCGCAGACTGCAAGCAGGGGGCGCCGAACTGCTGGAGGCGTCGATGCTAGCGTGGCAGACAGCGGTCGACGGCCCCGGCGCCAGCAGCGCGGCGGCCATACTGCCCCAACTCGGCAGCCCGGCTGCTGAAGCCCCCGCGCTGCCTGGATCCGCCCAGCGCAGCTCGCCAGGAACGCCGGCAGCGCTGGAGCTGCCGGTGACGATCGGCGGGGTCGGCGCCGGCGGCACGCAGCCTGCCGCGCCCGCCGCCCCGCCTGCCGCCAACGTGCCCGCCTCCGAGGGCGGCGCCGGCACCGCCGCCTTTGCCACGCAAGCCGCGCTGCTGCTGACGGAGGGCAACGAGACGCAGGCGCAGGAGGTGGCTGACGCGGCGGCGCAGGCGTTTGCCGCCGGCCAGCCAGAGGCGGTGGTGGGCCTGGCCCAAGCCACGGCGGCAAGCATGGCCTTTGGGCCCAGCCAGGCCATCAATCTGGTGGTGCTGGATTCCCTGGCCTTTGGCGGCGAGTTTGCCAGCTTCTTCGCGTCCTCCCTGGCCCAAGCCAGCGCCAACCTGGTGGACGCAGCCGGCGCGACGGCGGCGGCGGTGCCCTACGCTTTCGCCGAGGCAAGCTGCGGTGATGCCCGAGGAGACGAGGAGGCACCCATGTCGCGTGCAGCTTGCAACCGAGTTGCCCACAAGTGCTCCATGCTGTAGCTCCTGATGCTGCTGCAGGCTGTGGCGGGCGCTGCAACCGAGGGCTATACCCTGGCAGCCTCCCAGACCCTGGCCGCCGCGCTGGCAGCCTCCCCGCTGCTTGCTGCCCCGCTCAGCGAAGCCGTGGCTGCCGAGGGAGCGGCAGCCCCCAACGACGCGCAGGCAGCTGCCTGGGCGCAGGTTGGTTGGCAGCTGGGTGCTCGCTTGGGAACTTATACTGCAACCTGTAAATCCGCTCTGGGCCTCCGCCTCTGCGGCTCTGAGCGGCACAGTTTGAGTGGTGGCTCCTACCCTTGCCCTGCCTGGTGTGTGCGCCTGCAGGCCACCGCCGCCGCCGTGACGCGGGGCGCCGGCGACGCGGCGGCCGCCGCCATCTACGCCGCGCTCGCCAGCGGTGGCCCCTTTGCGGGAGAGTACGCTGCCGCCCTGTCATCCACCACGCCCTCGATGGAGCTCTGCTCCGCCTTCAGTGCGGCGCAGGTGAGGGCTGGGTGCTCCTCAACACCCTGTCGGCGTCGGCGTGGGGAGGAGGTGGAATGCCTTCACACCCGCTAGAAGCAACAGGCAAACGCAGGGAATGTTCCCAGGCCTGCCCCGCCCGCCTGCTGAGCTGAGCGCGTGCTCCCTGAACGACCGCTGCAGGAGTCGGCGGTGGCCTCGGGGCACGGCGTGGCCTTTGCAACAGCCGCCGGGAACTTATTCTCGTCCTGCTGACAGTGAAACAGTGATTTAATGTGACACTTCGTGGTTTCTTGCAAGGCTGCCAATGGATGAGGGTGCGCAGTGAGGCACGGGTAGCAAGGGGCGGTGGGGGGCTCATCAGTGGGGCAGAACCATAGCGCGCTGCGCAGGAGGAAAATCAAGGGATTGCAGGGAGCGACATGAAATGTGCATGCAGAACGCGTCGTGCGTCGAGCGCTCCAGGCGGTGGTGGGAGCCGGCCTTGGCGCCACCGCCTTGGCGCCGCAGCAGCTCTTGCGATCATGCAAGACAACTGTGCGCATGCTCCGCCCGCCTCCGAGCCTGGATCCTAGATCTAGATCTTCTAGAAGGCGTGCGCGCTGTCCAGCAGGTGAGCCACCTCGGCCTTGCCGCCCGGCGTCAGCCGGTGGCAGCCCAGCACGTTGAGGCTCAGCAGGCTGGTCATGCGGCCCAGGCTGCGCAGCGAGTCGTCCGTGATCTTCCAGCTGCGGGTGGCGGCGCGGGGGGAGGAAGGAAAGGTAAGTGAAGGCGGGTGGGGGGCAGGATGAGAGAGGGGGCGGCGTGGCTTAAGGTGGGAAGGGAGGTGCTGCTGGATGCGGGCGTGGCGACACAGACCATAGAGGCGAGCCTGTGCTGCTACACACACACACACACACACACACACACACACCTGTACATGAGGTCGAGGCGGGAGAGGGCGGAGAGGCGGGTGAGGGCGGCGATGCCCGCGTCGCCAAACTGCCACGCAAACTGCAGCTCCAGGTCCTGCAGGCTGCGCAGCGCGCCCAGCTGTGCCACCCCCGCGTCGGTGACCTCGCTCATGCCCTGCGGCAGTTGGGCAGGTGGGGTGGAGGGGGGAGGGTGGGGAGGGGTGGGGAGATCGTTACGAGCGGGTGAAGTGGCTCAGGCAAAGCCTGGTCTGGTCAGGCCAGGTCAGGTGGGCACGAGGGGAGGGAGCGGTACATAGAAAGCCTGGCTCTGCATGCGCTCGGCACCGCGGGGGCGACCCCTGCGCGCGCCCGCCCACAACACTCCCCGCTCCCGCTGTGCAGCCGGCCGCGGCCCCACCTGCAGGCACAGCGCGGTGAGGCGCTGCAGGGCGGGCGCCATGGCGGCCAGCCCGCCGTCGCCCACGCGCTTGCACTGCTTCAGGTTGAGGCTGCGCAGCGCGGTGAGGCCCGCCAGCGCGGCCAGCCCCGCATCGTCCACCCCGGGGCTGTTCTGCAGCTGCAGGCTGGCCAGCAGGGGCATGCGCCAGGCGGCGGCGCCGGCCCCGGTGATGGAGGGGCACTCGCTGAGGTTGAGCGATACCAGGCCGGTGAGGGGCCCCATCTTCTGCAGGCCCGCGTCGGTCAGCGTGGAGCAGCCCTGGAGCGAGGAGGGAGGCCGGGACAGGCAGGCAGGCAGGGTGAGGGTGAGGGCGCGGGGGGAGGGGGCAGGAGGGTCGCCGTCTGGGCTGCCCGAGAGCTTCGCCCCTCCGCCACTCCCACTACATTCCCCGTGCACAGCACAGCACAGCACAGCACAGCGCAGCGCAGCACCCCACCTGCAGGTTGAGGCTGGTGAGGCGGTGCAGGCTGGGGGCCAGCGCCTCCAGCCCCGCATCCAGCAGTACCACGCCGCGGCAGCCCTCTAGCGACAGCTGGCGCAGCGCGCTCAGCGTGCTGCAGCAGGCACACCGCAAGCACGCGCAGACGCCCAGGTGAGTTGCAGGGGCAGGCGCATTGCACAGGCGCCCGCAGCATCTGCTGCCAGGAATGTCCTGATCCGAGGGATGGAGCTGCCGGCGACACGCCAACAGCAGAGGAAGAGGCTCCACCCCTCGGGCTCACCCCAGCGCCCGCAGCGACTGCCCGTGGATGGCGGTGCAGCCGCCCAGGTTGAGCGCTGTGAGGGAGGACAGCGTGGACAGCGGGCGCAGCGCGGCGGCGCCCCGCAGCCCGCTGCAGTGCTGCAGCCGCAGGCAGGCCAGCAGGCGCAGCGACGACAGCGGCGCCAGGCCGTCCGCCGTCAGCTCCTTGCAGCCAGACAGGTCCAGCTGGCGCAGGGAGGTGAGGCCGGGGAGGAAGTCCAGGGCGCCGTCTGCAGGCAGGGCCGGTCCACGTCAGCATCAATATAATAAGGTGGTGGAGCGGCCCTGCGGCAAACTCTTCAGCTGCCAGGACACCAAACCAATGCCAGCGCATTCCTCGCCCCTCGGCAGTGAACGAGGATGTGGCTGCCTGCTCCCTGCCCCTGCCCCTGCCCCGCGCACGCGCACCTGCCAGCCGGTCGCAGCCGCGCATGCAGAGGGAGGTGAGGCGGTGCAGCGCGCCCAGCCCCGACAGGCTCTGCCCCGCGCCGTTGGCCAGGTTGCGGCAGCCCTGCAGGTTCAGGTCCTCCAGCCGGGTGAGGCCTGCGGGCAGGTGGGCGGGCAGGCAGGCAGCAAGCCAGTCGGCCAAACAATGCATCTTAATGGCTGAGACTTCTGTCCATGCCACCTGGCAGCCTAAACGGCAGGCCGAGGGAGAGAGGCGAGGAAGGGCTGCCGCTGCATGCCGGCCCACGCCTGGGGAAGCACGACTCTCCCCTCCCCGCCCCTGCTGCCCATCCGCCGGTGCCGCTCGCACCCGACAGGTGCGCCAGGCCTCGGTCCGTGACCTGCCAGCACTCCTGCAGGTTCAGCGCCGCCAGCGAGCGCAGCGTGGGCAGCAGCTCCAGGCCGTCGTCCGCAAGGCTGCACGGCGCGGGTGGGCGGGGGGCAGGGGGTGGCGGGTGATGAGGTTTCCAGGGGGATCGGTGGTCAGTCGATTGGTGAGATCCATGGATGCAGGCAGCATCACGTCCAGGAATCAAGGAGCGCAAGGAGCGTGCTGTGGCGCACAGCCGGCAACCACGCGGCCGCCAGCTGCGTGTACCAAGTCGCACCCACACAAGGAGCAAAGGGAATGCCACGGAGGCGCCGCACCTGTAGCAGCCCTTGAGGTTCAGCTCGCTCAGCTGCTGCAGGCGCGACAGCTGGGTGAAGCCGGTGCCTGCAAGCACGCGCGGCGGCAGGCGCTGTGCTCCCTCAGCCGGACGGATCGCAGATGGCACAACCCACCATGGTCTTTCCAGCCCCGTTAAGGATCCGGCTCGGCCCTCCCATCCATGCTGCGGCTTGTCCCCTTGCTTGGCCGGCCTGCCCGCTTGCCTCTCAGGTGCTCGCAGGCTCGCATGTCGAGGCGGCGCAGGCGGCCCAGGCCCGCCAGGTGCGCCAGGCAGCCGTCCGACAGCTGCTGGCAGCCCCGCAGGCTCAGCTCCTCCAGCAGCGGCAGGCGGCTCAGCACCGCCAGGCCCGCCTCTGCACAGGGTGGCGGTGGAGGTGGTGGTGGTGGCGATGGTGGCGGTGAGCTTGTGCCGGCATCAGGGAGAGTGGCTGGTGCCGGTTTGGGCGGGGTGGCAAGCAGGGGAGACCAGCAGGCACCCAGCGCGCCGTCGGCTGCAGGCCACGCTCTGCCCGCCTCCCGGCAGGGCCCCAGCAACGCGGCGAGATGCAGGCAGGCGTGGGGCGGCGCAGCAGCACAGCGCATGGGCACGCGCCTGTCACCCGCAGGCAGTTCCACAGGTTGAGGCAGGTGAGGCGGTGGAGGGAGGAGAGGCGCGCCACGCCTGCAGCGGGCGCAGCCCGGGGGTTGGGGACTCGCCCCGAGACAGTGTGCGGGCACAACGGGGGCGCGCACTGCACCAAGCAGGCACGCCAGCTCTCACAAACCACAGGCCTTAGGAAGCCTCCCCAGCCTAAGCCCTGAGGCCTGCCTCCCGCCCCACCCCGGGGCCCGCACCTTCGTCCGTGACCCCCGTGCAGCCGGCCATGTCGAGCGCCCTGAGGCCGCGGCAGCGCGCCACCGCCTCCAGCACACCGTCCCCCACCGTCGACACGCGGCTGCACCCGCCCAGCAGCAGCTCGGTGAGGCTGGCCGCCAGGCCGCTGGCCGCCGCCGCAAAGCCGCGCTCGGTGAGCAGCACGCAGCCGGCGAGGTCGAGGGAGGCGAGCGGCGGGCGGCGGCACGGCGGCGGCGCCGCCGCCGCCGGCAGCCGCGCGCCGGGGGAGCGCAGGCGCGGCACGGGCGGCGGCGAGCCGGGGCCGGCGGGGGCCCACAGCTGGGGCAGCTCGCGCCCGCTCACGCCCGCCAGCCTGGCCAGCCCCACGTCTGTAAGCTTCACGCAGTTGCGCAGTACCAGGCGGGACAGGCGGGGCAGGCGCGCCAGCTGCGCCACGCCCTCGTCGGTCACGCCCTCGCAGCCCCTGAGGCTGACGCAGCGCAGCGTGCTCAGCAGCGCCACGTCAGCCAGGTCCCAATCCTGGCAGGCGGAGGCGGCGGGAGGGGTGGGGGAGCGGGGGGTGGGCGGACAGCGGGGGCGCACAGCAGAGAGGGCGGGGAGGGCTGCCAGGCGCTGTTTCGTGGAGGCTGCCGCCACGCGGGGAGGGGCAGGGCAGCCGCGCCCCACCTGCAGCTGGCGGCAGTGCCCCAGCTCCAACACTTGGACGGATGGGAAGCTGCAGGAGGGGTGGAGGGGGCGCCAGGCGGGGTGCCTGAGCCTCGGTGCGCTCACACGCTGCGCCGCCACAGGCAATGAGCCGCCTCGCCCTGCCCCCGCCTGGCCCCCGCCACGCAGCCTGCCTGCCCACACCTTGCGGCCGCCAGGCGGCAGCGCATCTGCCGTGGGCGCAGCAGCTGCACGTTGGTGGAGAGGGCGGCGCGCCAGTCGGCGCACGCCAGCCTGGCCGCCTTGACGTCGCCCGGCGACAGGCCGGCCACCACCCACCGCCACACGTCCGCCGGCAGCTCGGCCCACCGCCCGCAGCCGCCCGGCAGCGGCGGCGGTGGCGGCGGGGCCGCGGTGGCGGCACGGGCCGCGGCGGCCGCCGCACGTGCCGTGGCGGCCGCCTGCGGCGAGCCATCGCTCGTGATCAGCGCTTCCAGCAGTCCCGCGCTGCTGCGGGGCGTCTGCCGCCCGCTGCTACCCGGCGAGGCGCTGCCGCAGGCATAGTCCCCCGGCCACAGCGAGCGGCGAGCGGCGGCACCGCCGTTCTCGCCGCCGGCGCCCGCGGCCAGCGCGGCGGCGGCGGCGGCTTCGCTCGCCAGCGCGGCGTTCGCTTGCGGCGGCGAGTTCAGCTGCGCCGCCTCAAGGCGGGCCAGCAGCTCGTGGCCAAAGTCCATGCTCACTCAGGTGGTGGGGAGGAGGTGCAGGGCACAGCCAGTGCGCTACGTGTCGCCGGCGCCTGCGTCGCTCCCCGCCGGCGCACCAGGCCTGCACCCGGCAGGAGGGGTTGGGGGTGCTGAGCGTCTCGGGGCGACCGTGCCGCCGTGCAGGCGACGGTGCGCTAGCTTCCAGCAGCAATGCGCGGAAGGAGCACAGCTTATGTAGCTGGTCGGCATGGGGCACCCTCCCCGCCTCCCTGCACCTGGCACTCCCTGCAGACTGCTGAAGGATGAGGCAGTTCCGGCCGGCGCTCAGGCACGCAGGGGGCGAGACATGGCAGGGCTTGCAGATCTGCTACCGCAACAGTCGGGTTTCCGTGCCCCGCTGCTCTGAATTCAGGTGACGGAGGACGCAGAGGTGCGCAGCATGCAGCGATAGGAAGCGGGGCGTGCCAACTAGACTCCCGACCGCCTCGTCAGCGGCCCATCTCAAGGCGCCGCCGCCGTGTCGCCGCCTGCTGTGCCACACATTCACTATCACGTGTATTACTTGCTGAAATTGCAGAATTGGGGCATTTCAGGCCTTCTTGCCGGGCACAGACAACAGCTCAACTTCGAAGATGAGGGTAGCACCTCCAGGGATCACGCCGCCCGCGCCGCGGTCGCCTGCAAGGAGGATCGACGGGAACGGAGCCAAAGGTGTGTTGCTTGACCAAGCTGGGCATCTTGGGAGGGGCTGTCGCTGTACCCCAAAAGCCGGGGCGTTGCCTCCTCCCCACACCCCTTCCCTACCAACCCCCCGATCGCTCCTCCAAACCCACGGCCCCCCTGCTGCTGCTCACCGTAGCCGAGGTGAGGCGGGATTACGAGCTTGCGCTTCTCGCCCACGCACATGCCCTTGACGCCCTGGTCCCAGCCTGCAGACACCAGCGACTCGCGTGGGCCGCCAGCGGCGCGGCAGCCGCCTGCCTCCTCTGCTGCTGCTGCTGCTGCCAGCGCCCCCTGCGTACTTTGCCCTGCACGCACCCTTGATGACCATGCCGGCCCCCAGCTTGAACTTGAAGGGCTGGTTGCGGTCGTAGGAGGCATCAAACTTGGTGCCGTCCTCCAGGGTGCCCTGCACACCGCCACACGCCGCCGAGTCGGGAAGCAGGGCGGGCATGGAGGGCGCGTTGTCGGCCCAGCAGGCCTCCACACAGCCTGCACGTGCGCTGGTTTGTTGCCGGCATCAACGCAACTCCCTCCCGCTCCCTCTGTCGCTCACCAGGTAGTGCACCTCCACCTGGTCGCCCTTCTCGGCCGTCACAGCGCAGTTCTCGGCCTTCTTCTGCGGCAGCGGAACAAAGGCGCGCGCGGCGTGAGGGCCGGGCAACGGGCGGCGGCGGCGCAGGCCGCAAACATGCGCGGCATCACGGTCGCATCCGCCGCCATCGCTGCCTAGCAGCTGCCACACGCCCCCAGCAGCGTCGTTCGGCACCCTCTCGTCCACCACCAGCCACCCCACCAAGATGGTGATTTTCATCTTCTCCTCCGCGGCAGCGAACGGGGCCAGCACGCAGCCCAGCGCCAGGCACAGTGCCAGGGGCAGAACGGAACGCCGCATGGTGAGGCGGGAGATGGCTGCCTTCACGATCAGGCGTGCCGGAGGTGCTGTGCAGGCTTGCGCGCAGCAGGATACAGCGGCGCGGGAGGTGGCGTGTTGGGTCTGAGCCAGGCCCCCATCTGCCACCGGGCGCCAGCGGTGCTGCGGCGGGGGCATGCATGGGCAGGTGGGTGCCTTGCGGCGGAAGTTTGCTGCGTCTGGCACATTGGGATGCAGCATGAAAATGATGCCCTTGCCTACACCATTCACACGGGCCAGCTGGAATGCGCCGGGGCCCTTCATTGCGGCAGCCAGCGCGGCCGCCGTGAACCAGCCCGGTGCAATGCTCCCCACTGTTGTACCTGCGCATGGCTTGTTGCAATAGGCTGCGCAGGACCAGTTCGATGGCACCTAAATGAATTAAATGATCTCAGTGAAACAATGCTGGCCGAGCGGTGTTCAAGGCGGGACGAGTACAGCGCCGTGGCTGCCGCGCAAGGCCACCCACACGCTGGTCTAGTTGCGCATCTCCCCCAAAGTCACACAGGTATGTCATTCTTCTTCCTCTTCTTGCTGCTAGCCGTGCTCTGCAGCTCCGCCGTGGCGCCTTCCAGCTGCACGCTGCTGCCGTCGTTGTCCTCCGTGTCGGAGGCATCCTCCTGCTCAGAAAACTCCTCCTCCTCATCCTCATAGCCCTCCTCCTCAAAGTCCTCCTCCTCATGCTGTAAATTCTATTAATAGAATATATCATCCTAATTTATCTGATGGTTTGTTCCATTTGGTTCTTTTTGGTTCTTTTTTTTGAAAAAAAAGAAATAAAAAAAAGAAAAAAAATGGAAAAAATTTGATAAATGGTTCACTTTGTTCCATTTTTTAATAAAAAATGGAAATAAATTAGATTAATTTGGAAATAATTCATAGAATTTGGAATGCTTCTTCTGTGCCGGGGTGGGTGGCGTCTCTGAGCCGCTTGCGCCGCCTGCTGGCGGTCCTGGCCCTTGGTCCCCCTCTTTCCCCTGTCTTTTGCCCCCCGTTTCCCCTCCTCACGACTCTCTGCCGTCACTGGGCTGGCTCCCAGGCGCCCTCCGCTTTCCCTGCCGCCCGCTGTGCCCGGTCGGCTCCTCGCAGCCCCGCGCTCCGCCGCCCTGTCTGTTGGTTGGTTTCATACTTATATTGTCCAGAGCTAGTGGGCACGGCTTGTGTGTCCCCAGCCCTTTAAAGGGCCCGGTTCTCTGTAATCTCAGTCAGTCAGTTTGGAAATGAACCTAAGTGTTTCTATTTGGTTTTTTTAAGGTTCTCTTTGTAATACAAAGAGAACCAGAAAGACAAAAACATGCGTGGAGGGGTGCCCCGGGCCCTGCGGCGCCCGCGGCTCGGCTAGTCCGGCGAACACCCCCTCGGGCCGGTGCCGGCTCTCGGCCCGTTGTATGAGCCCCCGTGTGCCCCGTTGGTGCCCGGCCACCCCCTCTGCGACTTGTTCGCCCCCTACGACGCGTTTTGTGCGCGCCAGCCCCTCCCCCCAATTCCCGCTTCCGTGTGTAGCGGCCCCAAGCCCTGGTGCTTTCCCTTCAGCGAATTGAGACGTGGGGTGGCGTGGCTTGGCGGAGGAGCCTGTTGCCGCCGAGCGATTTGCGTTCGGGCAGGCCGCTGCTGCTGCTGCCGCCGCGTGCCAGGCGGCCCGCCGTCCCCCCCTCTTTTCGCTCACTCCGTGCCTGCCGTTCTGGTCGTCACGCCCCTACTCTCCCCCCCGTAACCCGCAGATGCTTGCGCTTTTGCGCTTGCCCCGTCCTCCCCTTGCCCGGTCTTCCCGCGTGCCGCCTTCACCTTTGCGGCCCCCGCCCGCCCGCCTGGCCGCTCTCCCAGCTACTGTGCCGGGGTGGGTGGGCCCGCTTTCTGGTGGTGGTGGTGTGCGGGTCCTCGACCTGCCCCTCCCCCCCACTGGTATGCTTGCCGCCCTTGGGCTGGCCATCAGGCGCCCCTCGCCTCCCTCCCCGCCCTTTGCGCCCGACCGCTCCCTGAGCCCGCCCTTTGCCGCCCGGGCGGTATTGCATGCTTTCATACAGTCCAGAGCTAGTGGGCACGGCTTGTGTGCCCCCAGCCCATTAATGGGCATTGCCTCTGTAACATCACAGATCACAGATCACAGATGTAGTTTTTTACTTCCTATTTTTCTTCCATTTCCAGCCCTCTTCATCATCTTCCTCCTCAGAGCCCTCCCCCTCCTCTTCCTCCTCCTCCTCAAGGAATGCATCGACGGCGGCAAGGGCGGCTGCTACCCGCGCCAGCGCAGCATTCCTCCTCAGAGAGCTGGCGTGCATCTGGCAGGCGATGATGCTGTTCATGGTCGTGATGTGCATGAAGGCAGCAGCCAACATGACCATCATCATGTTGCGCCGCTGCCCAGAACCGAGACCTGCGTTTGGTGCAGCTGGCACGTCAGGAGGCACGTCAGCAGGCTGCGGCTCCATGATCCTAAATCCCTGACAGCGAGTAGACGCGAAGAGGCTGGCGTATGGTGTGTTTCAGCATGCTGGCACCAGCTGGCAGGGCGCAACTTTTCAAGTTTGAATCGTGGGGCAGTGCAGTGAATTGCATTTTTATGCAAAAAAATGCTTTAGCAACTCCGGTCCTTGCCCATACCCCTGGTCGCTACGACTTTTGCTCTTCCCTCGCCCTACCAGCATGGGCACAGCACACGCCGCTCACGGAGCGGTAACCGAGTTAAAGGCATGTAGCAACGGGGGAAGAATAAAGTGGGGTCAACAGCTGCGACATCGCCTCATGGCGGCAGCAGCATCAACACAGCGGCACGGCAAGCAAGTCAGAGGCGCAAACAACTCAACGGGATGGGAAGGATTCTCTGTACAGGCCACAAGGGCGGTCAAAGGCTGGTGCCAATCAGCTGCCACGCTACGCCAAAGCCCGCTGGGCTCAGTTCCAGCGGCGGCCGGTGCCGATCTGGCTGCTGCGCACGCCGCGCGCGCTGCTGAGCGAGCCGCCGCTGCCGACCTCGCTCGAGCCCGAGGCCGCACGCCGCATGCTGCCGCTTGCAGAGACGGCCAGCAGGCGGCTGCCGCCAGAGGCGGATGCGGACTTTTGCAGCGCGGCGCGGCGGGCCGCCGCCTCGGCAGGCGACTCGCGGGCCGACTGCGGCGCCCGCAGGCTGCTGCTGCTGCTCAGGCTGGGCGACTTGCGAAGGCTGGGCCGCGCCGTCAGGCTGCCGCTGGGGTGCAGCGCGGCAGCTGACGCCGAGGGGGGCGAGGGCACGGGGATGCGGCTGCCAGGGGGCGCCTGCAGCACAGCGGGGGCAGCAGCAGCGGGGCAGCAGCAATGTGGTCAGTCCAGGGGCCCAGCAACCAGCGCTGGGATGCATGGTGCCGGGATGCCTGCAGCGCAAGCCAACAGGCAGGCGCCACAGAAGGCGGCACGGCGGGTCAGATGGGGCAGGCAGGGTGTGCTCCCCAATGCACGGCGTGCCTGTGACAGCCTGCTCCCGGTCAAGGCGCTGCCACGGGGCTGCTGCAGCGCAGGCTGGGCGGCAGAGCGGCCCAGCGGCAGCGCAAGCTTGGGCAGCTGGGCTGCGGCACGCTGGCTGTTTGCGCCGGTAGCAGCGTGCCGCCGAGCGGCGGTGCGGCTGGTGAGGGGGCGGGGCGGGCTGACCACCAGCTCGAAACTCTCCACCTCCACCTCCCCCCCGCCGCCGCCCGCCTCGGCACCCTGCACGCTGCTGTGCTGCGACAGGCGCGAGGGGCTGCTGGCCTCGCTGTCGCTGCCGCGCTCTGTGAGCCAGCTGGTGCCGCCGCGCGGCGTGGTGATGGTGCCGCTGCCGCGCGGCGTCAGCCTGTCACCGCCAGCCGCAGCCCCCGGCCCCGCCGCAGCAGCCGGGCTCACCCTTGCCGACAGCGGAGTGCGGTTCTCTTCTGTCTCGCTGCGCTGCAGGTTGAGCTTTGCTAGGTTGAGCTTGGCCATGGGCGGGCGCAGGCCGGCGCCGGCCCCGGACAGCCGCTTGTCTACGGGTGGGCCGCCGACGCCGGTCTTGACCCCGGAGCCCAGGTTTAGGCGAGACACCTGGGCTGCCCGGGAGCCGACTGCGGCAGCGGCGGCAGGGGGGCATGCAAGCAGATGTGCATGACTGGCGGAGACTCCAAGCAGACTCCAAGCAGACTCCAAGCAGCCAGCATGTGAGCACGCATGCCAGGCAGCCAGCAATGGCTGGCGCCGCCGGTCCCCCAACCCACCAGAGCCGCGTGGCGTGATGCCGCCGCCAGACGCCGCGCTGCGGGGCGTCATGACACGGCCGCCCGCCGCGGCGCCGCCGCGTGGCGTGGCCTTGCCGCCGCCGCTGGCGCCCGCAGCCACCGGCAGCGACAGGCGCGAGCGGGGGGTCTGCCCGCCGCCGCCGCCGGCCTGCGACACGCCCAGCGGCTGCCGGGTAGCTGCCGGGCGGTACGCCCGGATGGTACCCTCATCTTCCGAGGAGGCGCAGGGGCTGCCAGCCGCCCGCGCCAGCTGCAACCGAAGCGATTCAAGCTCCGCCTCGAGAGCCGCGCTGCGCTGCTGCTCCGCCGCAAGCGCGCCCTTGGCGGCTGCAGCGGCGGGGCCGGGGCAAGTCGCGCCAGCCAGTCAGCTCACACACTCGTGCTGTGTGCACGCATGCCGTGGGGCAGGCAGGCATGCAGCCCACCACGGGTCCTGTCCCACGGCAGCACCCCGCAGGGAGCAGGCAGGCACGACCAGCAGCACCACCACCACCAGCAGCACCACCACCCGCAGCCCCCGGCCTCCGAGCCCGCCTCACCCGCCGCCTCCCGCTCGCTGCGCATGGCTCGCTCCTTGGCCTCCCAGGCCGCCCCGCTCTCCGCATTCTTCTTGGCGGCGCCCAGCGTGATCTCAGTCACGTTCTTTCCAAAGTTGAGAGTGGACAGCGTCTCGCTCACAGACGTCATCTGCATGGGCGGCGACGGTGGGGGTGGGGTGTGTTGGGGCCCCGGGGGGGCGGCGCTGCCTCCATGCTCTCCAGCGCCGCTCGTCTTTGCAGTCGCCCCCGCCTTGGCAGCCGCCAGGCCAGGCAAAGTATTACTGTTTGGAGGCAGCTCCCCTCCCACCTCTGGCGCCACGTGCATGAACATCATCGTCTTTGCCTGCCCGCTCAGCGAGTCCTGCAGCAGCTGCGTGAGCTTGGAGTCGCGGAAGGGGACGTGGGCGCTCTTGGAGGCCAGAGCGTGCATCACGGTGCCCAGCGCGCTGCGGGGAGGGGAGGCACAGGGTGCACGGGGTGCGTCAGCCGGTGTGCGTGGTGACACCGGAGGGTTGTGGGGTGGGGAGTGGCAGATGGCGGTCGCTGAGCCAGGAGGAGTGAGGCAGGGGCTGAACAGCGTGCATGCCCTCCACACATCACCACCATCTGTACAGCCGCCAGCCAGCCCCAGGCGCCCCCCCCACCTGAGGCTCTTGTTGATGTGCTGCGCTTCCAGCAGCTGCTGGCCCTCCGCGCCGCTGCGCCCCACCCGCTCGCTGCCGGCCAGGTCGATGAGGTGCAGGCAGCCGTGGGTGCGGGCGTGGGTGATCTTGTTGGTCCCCTCCACCATCACAGTCAGCACCTGCGCAGCGGGCGGGTGGGGGGGTCTAGGGCAGCATGGTGCGGCGCAGGAGCAGCACGGCGGCTTTCTCCCTAATATTCCCGACGCTGGCAGCAGGTCGCAACAGGGCATGGCTGCCGTCTTCCCAAAGATCACAACACACACATACACACAGAGACACACACGCATGCACGCACACCGACATGCGCACCTGGTGCGAGCGCGAGGAGCGGTTGTTCATCTTGGTCTCAGCCACCGCGCGGTTGCGCGCCCCCACCTCCATCACCTCCAGCACCTCCTCAGCGCACGTGACGGGCACCTGCGGGGCAGGGGGCCAGGGCGGGGCAGGCGTTGCAGGACGGCGGGGAGTTTGGATGCCAGAAGCTCAGTAGGCACCTGTTCCACCCACCCACCCCCATTGGCCGCTTCTCCATGTGTCCTGCAGGTCCCCCCTGCCCTGCGCTGCCCTTCCCCACACATGCACCCACAGCGCACGCCTCCCCCCCACCTGCGTGGCCTCTGGCACGTTGGAGCCGCTGCGCTGGGTGTTGACAAGCTGCAGCGTGCGCTGCTGCCGCGCCTCTGCGGGCGACACCAGCAGGTCGCGGATCGACTCGTTGTAGATCTCCAGCAGCTGCACCGAGATGGCGTACTCCACCTGCGGTTCGGATGGCGGTACAGGTGGCAGTACAGGTGGCGGGCCAGATCATGCCGAGCTGCAGCCGGCCGCACTGCTGTGGCACCACCGACAAACTACCACACGCCCACAGAGACACAAATGCTACCAGCCACCACTGGTGTATTCAGAACACAGCACCCACCCACCTCTGCGTGCCGCTCCCTGTTCAGCTCAAACAGGTCGTCCAGGGCGCGGTAGTTGATGCCGCGCCCCTCGTACTGCCCAACGTCGGTGCCGCTCATCGTGTGCGTCTTGCCGCTGCCCGTCTGGCCGTCTGCGGGCGGGGGACGGGGCGGGCATGCACATGCGCAAAGGGAGGTGGGTGGCTGTCCATGCCTCGTGCGCATGGCCAGAGGATTCCACGACTGCTGGCTCTCACACCGAGCCCCAGCAGCACCCCAGGCACAGCCAACTCACATGCAAAGATGCACACGTTGTAGCCTGCAGCAGCAAGCGGTGGGGGGCAGCATGGAGGTGAGCAGAGGGGTGGCAGGGGCAACGCGGCGGTCTCCAGGCCTGGCCAGTTTTCTTCGGGCCACCGCACTCGCGGCAACCCCGGCCCTGCCCCGCCGCCACCCACCGTCCAGCACAGAGCGGATGAGGGGCTGCGTCTCCTGGTAGACATCGTCCTGGCTGCTGTCCTCCCCAAACGCCTTGTCAAACTTGAAGGTGTGCCACTTGTTGTGCTTCTGGCTGAACACGTTGAGCGCGCCCTCCTCGCCCAGCTGCGGGCAAAGGGAAGGAGGCGCCCGAGGGCCACCAGAATCAAGAGGACGGCTGGCAGGCCAGCGATGACCATTCGGCAGGGCGGGCTGCTCCATGCACGTAGGTGCTGCCAGCCTGGCTCGGAAAAGAAACAGGGCTGCTGCCAGCTGCCCACCTCCACCATGGAGGCGGTGGCGTCGCCGGTGGCGCCGCGGGGCCGCACGCGACAGAAGACCCGGATGTTGCCCCGCAGGTCCTGCACCGTGTTGTACAGCTGGCGGTTCTCCTCGGAGATGAGGTGGTACCGCTCGTTCAGGTGGCGGTACTGCTCCACCTGCACGGGAGGCGGGAAAAAGCCGACAATGGTGCGGCAGGCAGGATGTGGCAAAGGCGGGGTCGGCACATGGAAAGGCAAGGCATGGCCACAGGCCAGCGCAAAGGCTGCAACCCGCTCGCCATGCGGTTTCTCGCCAGCCCCAGCACGCCCGCCTCATCTTCACCCAAGCACTGCCCCATCCCAGCAGCTGCAGCAGCATTTCCAGCGGCCATCCCCGTCTTGCCAGCAGCTCACCTCCTGCGACAGCTCCCCCAGCTGTGCCTCGGCCTCAGCCACCTGCGCCGCCGCCGCAGCCTGCACCTCTGCCAGCGCGGCCTCCTTGCGCGCCACCTCTGCCGCCGCAGCAGCCTCCTTCTCCGCAATCTGCCGCTCATACGCCTCCCGCTCGGCGACGCTCAGGTCTGCACAGGCGAGGGGCAGGGCAGGGTAAAGACAGCAACCACACCACCGGACAGCAGACTGCCGTGCTTGCCCCTCAAACCCCATCCCCCAGACAGCTGCACCCACGCTCCAGCTGCCTGGGACGGGCTGGCCGCGTGTGTGCACCCCACCCCACACACCCCGCGCGCGCACCTGTGGTGGGGGCGGGCAGGTACTTGACGGCCGCCGCCTCGTCCTTCCACTGTGCCACCTCCAGGCGCAGGCGCGCGATGTCGCGCCGCATCCGCTCCTGCGCCTCCTGACCCAGCTTGAACTCCTGGTCCTTGGCCAGCAGCCGCTTCTCGTACTCCTGCAGCCAGGTGAGCATGTGTGTGGCAGGGCAAGACACGAAACGGTGCGGGTGTGAGTCGGTGGGGCGCCTGCATCTCCTGGTGGGGCATGCGGGTGTGTGTGTGGTGGTGGGGG